CAGACCGGTCAGCGTGAGGTCTTCTACGAGGTCAACGGTGAGGTGCGTCAGGTCAGTGTCGATGACAAGAAGGCGTCCGTCGACAACACCGCCCGTGCCAAGGCCGATTTGGGCGACAGCAGCCAGGTCGGTGCTCCCATGAGCGGTGTCGTTGTGGAGATCCGTGTTCACGACGGGCTCGAGGTCAAGAAGGGTGACCCTCTGGCCGTCCTGAGCGCTATGAAGATGGTATGTCTCGATCATCCTATATCTATTGTACGACACACAATGCTAATATATACTAGGAAATGGTTATCTCCGCGCCGCACAGTGGCAAGGTCTCCAGCTTGCTGGTCAAGGAAGGTGACTCTGTCGATGGTCAGGACCTGGTCTGCAAGATCGTCAAAGCCTGATGTAGGATGAACATTGCACGATGTTAAAAGAATCTATGACTTATGTTCCTCGCGATGCGCGCTTGTTGTCGGCTTGGTTGTGAGGATTTGAGGTGTTTTGTGTTCAAGCGTTTCTTTCCGGTTTGGTTTGTTCCCGTTTATTTCATGTTCGTTCTGACCGCGAGCTGGCCAATCCAAACGTAATATCGGTCATATATATGAATAAGTAGAGTTATTTTTGAGTCACAAACACGCAAAAATCGTACGTCGTAGATAATACTCATACATTTTGTATATGCATGGAGTGTCACCTAAAACATGTCTGTTCTCTGGTTGTCAACCAGAAGACCATAGATAAGACACATTTCAATGCCAGTGGATAGGATGGGCTCGAGATTTATGATTATAGCTTCGCAACGGAAGCGCTGTCTGGCTCACCCACCTCCCTCAAGGCTTTCCAGACGCGCATGGCCTCATCCCAGAAGGCATCCTCCTTGATCTGGACCGAGCCATCCGGCATCAGGGTCCTCAGCTGCTTATGACCCACGGTCCCCCACTGAAGATCTGATTCCCCGTGCACGAACTTCTTCAGGGGCTCAACCAGGGCGTTCCAGATCACGGCTTTCTCCTGAGGCTCGACCCGCTCCCCATTGCCCCAGAACCAGATGTACTGATCGGTGGCATGGGTCACGCCCCAACTAGGCGGGAGGGACTTATCGGCGCACTTCAGCCGATACTCGACGCGGTACCGATACACCAGGTTGTCTGTTGTTGATGCCGCCTCCCCCGCCTCCCCCTCCGGTGCCGCCGGTTCCGCCAAGGCATGCACCAACCCCCGCTGCATCTTATGCACCTGCATGTCCGCATAGACACGCCCAAAAGCATCGGTACGCCAATCCCGGACGCCTTTCGGGAGCTTTCCGTCCGGGTAGTACAGCTGCAGGAGGGTCTCGACTAGCGGCCGCGGGTACTCGGCGCTTAGGCGGTCCCGTAGCGCGGGGAGGGAGTCTTCGGTGGGCGGGAACCACGTCGCGTAGAGGTTGCGCTCGTCGCGGCATTCGCCGCAGAGGATGCGGATTTTCCGGGCGCGGAGGCGGCGGGCCCAGGTGCCATCGTCGAGGGAGGTGAAGAGGTCGCTGGCGATGAACGTGCCGTCGGTGGTGGGCCGTAATTGGTTGTTGCTGGGGAGGGCCATGGCGGCCTGGAGGAGGGTTGGGGCGGGGACGGCCCGCAGGCGTTCGAGGCGTTCAGGGCCGGGCAGGGTGCAGGGGATGGACAGCTGGTGCAGGAGCTGCGTGAATTGGGTTTGCGCGGTGGTGGGGGGTTTGGGTTGCGCGACCGGGCTGTTGGACCAGATGCAGACTCTTTTGATGATGGATTGGTCTGGGGCCAGGGAGAGGTCGTGTGAGAGTTGGTGGAAGGTTGAGTAGGCTCCTTTTTTGGGGTGGTTAGTTCAGAGGTTTGGGGTTTGAGGGTAGGGTAGGGGATGGTGAGTTTTGGCACAATGAAGGTGTTTGGGCACCGGGATAGCGTACCTGCTGAGTATCCTGCTACGGTGATCTCGGAGGGATTCCCCCCAAATAGACGAATGTGATCCCGGGTCCATTCTAGGGCCAGGCGTTGATCCCAGAAGCCGTGGTTGCCCACGCTCTCGTTCACGGAGGCGGCGTCTTGCTCCAGCTCGGAGGAGTAGAGGAAGCCGAACACGTTCAGGCGGTAGGCTGGGAGGACGACGATGGCGTTCAATTGGGCTTCTCCGAGAAGAGCGGCAGCGGAGAATGCATTGGGGTCTCCGAATTGGAGGAATCCACCGTCTGAGGTGGTTGTTAATCATCATGGAAGAATCTGGAAAAAGAAGGGAAAGACGACTTACGGATGAAGAAGAGTACTGGCCAGCCTGTTTGATGTTGAGAATTGAGTCTGAGCGCGCGGTTTATGATATGCAAAGCACATGGGGGATTGTGGGGACAGCAATTGCTTCTGTCCTATCTCCTAGTTGTTGGGGTTGGAGACAGATATCACATACCATTCTCGGGTGCCTTGCCTGTAGGAACCCAGATGTTGCACTGGAAACAATCCTCTGTCCAGCCGTCCTCGGAGACCACATCCAGGAAGCGAGGCTGCGGGCAGATCCCCGTACGTCCGTCCGCACGGCCTGGTTGGTCTTTCGAGCCATACGAGTAGGAGGTGGACAGCTTCTGGGCCTTGCGCCAACGTTGCGGGGGCGGGTGGGCGTAGCGTACCCCGCCAAAGTAGTGGCAGTAGGGTTTGTTGGTGGTTTTCTCGTGCAGAGTAACTCCTTCGATGTAGCCGTGTTGGCCGAGGGGTTGAAGATAGGGATGCTTGGTATATTCCATGGCGATTGTGGTTTGGTTCAATGCGCTGGTGAAGGGGGTGGGGAGGGGACTGGAGAAGTGGACTTGTATGTACAGGACTGTAAACAATGCCTCCCGAAAAGACCGGCTTGGGGCTATATAAGGACGAGGAGTCAAAATCGACCGAGGGACTGATAATCGAAACTATTGACAAAAGAAGATTGTTTGACAGATAGCCGAGCTGAGACCAGGGCGCGGGGAATGGTGATTGGCACCAGAGAACAACCCCGTCGGCAGAAGTTGGGATTTCGATGATAAGAAGATGCGGAGAAGAGGAGAAAGAGAGGAAGCCATTCCGCTTCGGCTCATGATCTGGACTCCGACCATGACTGGTGGCCTGAGGCACCAAGGCCGCCACTTTCCCCGGATTCTCGGCTTGACATGCTGCAGCTGGATGAGCTAGCCTGCTGCCTCTCACATTTATCTCGAACAGCTCAAACAAGACAATGATCTCTTCTTTCTAATCAAGATCAGCGAGACAACATTCGATTATCTCCTCTTTCTGATCCCCGCATACGTCAGCCCGGTCCGGTGACTATGACTGGGACTGGAGGAGCATCCATGGATGGATGAATCATGGATGATGATTCATTGCCCATCCCTTTCAACGTCTCCATTATTGGCTCATGCGGCCTAGACTCGTACTTTTGCCCCCCCTCCTTAACGATGAGCTTGTGGTTCTGATGCATCATCATTCCCGGGATCTGTTTCACAGTATTGTCCCGGACCCCCTCTTCTTGACCCCTCCAGAGGTATATTACCTCCTACTCCGTCGTCCCATCTGCTTAGGTAGATTTACTTTCTTCCAAAAACTCAGTATACTGTTTCCTTGCAAGCCGATTCCAAATCAAGTTCTAACATTATTGTCAACCTCTGGTAAGTGGACTTGACTTCATAATCTGACTTCTTCGAGATATCTCGTTTTTGCTGCCATCAAAATGACGCCGAGACTGTCGTGTCGAATCTTAATCTGGGCGCAAGTGTCAGTCATGTAACTTTGTACACACCACAGCGTTTGTACCCTTCTGTACACCACTGTCGCACCTACTGTCACAGGCTTATGCACATCATCCCCATGCTTCCCCATCTTGTGTCTCCTGTTCTTCAACTCACGAAGTGAACAGTTGACACTGCATCTTCGCCCATCCATCTTCCTTCAACCCCCATTCCAACTGAAACCATGAGCAACGACCAGCCACAGTCTCCCCGTCACTGGCACGGAGACCCCGGGAACCGTCACGAGCATCTCAACGTCTGGGTCCGCGGTGGTCCGTCCTCGCCCTACTTCCGCCGTCCTTCGGTGCCAGGCGGATCGGTGTACACTACCGCGACCGGACCGGAGATGACTACCGATAGACGTGTATGTCTTCGTCTATTCATGAGCCCTCCTGTATCACATGCCTTTTGTGTTGTGTTCGTCATATGCTATTCAAGCGTTGGAGTCGCAAAAGCAGAGACCAGCAAACCTCATGTAGCGAGCACAGCACAGTCTCTCTCTCTCTCTCTCACAACACTCTACTGACACATCTAATAGGGCTCGAGTTCCTCCGATATGTCTTCCAACTCCACCAACATGTCCAGCAGTCCGCCTCGGGCCCCGGACCGGAGACGCTCCAGTGGCCAAAACTCATCCTTGTTCGAGGGTCTGACTAGTCAGAAGCGGAACTCGGCCGACCCCAACTTTGCATCACGCCGTGAGAGCTATACAGAGCAGGCTCAGACGGGTGGGATGTTCGCCCGGTGGTGGGATGGATACACCCGCGGATCTAACCAGGGAAAGTAAAACCACAGGAGGTGTATATCTTTGGTAGTAGGCAACGAGTTTAGTCTTTTGTATCCGCTGTCATATTTTGTTTTGTGTTTGTGGTGAGAGAAAGCATGGGGCGAGAGAAAAGGAAACCACTCAAATGTCCTTGTTGTGTGTATGGGAGCAGAACATGTTGACGGGCTGGTTCGATATTATGTCAAATATGCATCGCAGTCATAGTGTATTCTCATGAGATCAGTGTTCGGCTCAAGAGGTTCATGGCTTCTCTCATTCAGTCTTGGCCAAGGCCTAGATAGGGTGTTTGTTCCAGAGGACGGGTTCCAGGTCAGCAGTAACCCCCGGATGGTTGGTGAAAGGAAATCAACATGGGACATTAGACCCAGAGATTGCAAGGCCGGTATGATCGACCGGGGCATGAGATTAAGCATCAAGATCAAGGCGCTTTTGGACTAGTGCCGTCTGGGGTAAAGAAGTCTAGAGTTCAAAATCCGATCAATTCGCGTCTGCTACGACCCTACAGCTACGGTCGATCTACATCCAGACTGGAAACACAGAGCCGGGTCATAATGCCCATGCCTCTAGCACCAATCCAGAAAAGAGGACGAATCCTCGAGGGAGATTGCCAAACAAGACAAGACATCCCAACGGGAAGAGGAGAGAAGAGGGAAAGACTGACTCGCCATCTGGAAGGAACCAAAAGAAGGCGAATTCCAGAAGAGACGAAGCCAAGAGGCCGAGATGCACACCTTGCACTACCGCTTGATAGGGCAGGCAGGAGGCAGAGCAAGAAGACAATGAGCATCCAATGAATTGGATGGCAGCATTTATCATCCAGCAGTACAACTTTTCAATCAATGGTTATGCGGAAAATCATTCACCCTGTGTGAAAGCCTTCATTGAGAGAAAAAGTGGGATGTGTCTTTGAGGAAAATTGGGGGGGAATTTCATATCTCTAACACGCCTAACCTCATTGCCGTGATAGAAACATTTCGTTTCAGAGCAGAGCGACAAAAAAAAGTTGGAAAGAAAAACGCCTGCCCTCTTTCTTCTGTCCATTTTTTCTTCTTTTCGGTCCCGAGTTCGGTGCCGTTTCCGTCATAAAAGCACATAGCCCTTTCAGAATTGCTTCCTTTTCCCTTCTCCCGTCATTGAAGACTTTCGTAAGGGAGAGAAATCAAGATGACTTCCTAAGGGAAAGGCATTTACCGGACGATACCGTCGAAGCGGTTCTTGAACCACTTGATGGTCTCGGTCTGGTTGATGCGGTGCTGGGAGCCGACTCTGGCCTTGCAGCGGCGGCGCTTGGCAACACGCTCACCGGGGCGGGTCCTATTGGATTACCATTGTCAGGAATCGGGTCGGAGACGAGATCTGGTTGGGGAATATGGTATTCCCCAAAGTCGAAAGGGCCACTCACATGCAGCAGTAGAAGTCCATGCCGTAGATACCGATTCCGGGGTCGTACTTGATACCGAGATCGATGTGCTCGGAGATACCGAAGCCGAAGTTACCGGTCTCGGAGAAGTTGCGCTTGCGGAGCTCGTACTCCTTGACCTTGAGGCCACGCTCGAGGATCTCCTCGGCCTTGGGGCCACGGACGGTGACGTGGACGGAGATCTTTTCGTTACGGCGGATACCGAAGGTACGGACGGTGTAACGGGCCTTGCCTGTAGGTTGCAAAAAAAGTGGTCCATCAGCCCAACTGTTTCCCTCTTTGCGTGGTGTTCTTTTCCTTCCTCTTTTCCTTGTCGTCTTTTTGCTCTTCATTCATCGGATTCGGGATCAGGCGTTCTTACTGTAGACCGGAGTCTGACCGCTCAGCTGCTCGAGCACCTTAGCAGCGCGAGTAAGTCTGTCACCAGACTCGCCGACAGAGATGTTGAGCACGAGCTTCTGGATGCGCAGCTCGCGCATAGGGTTGGCGCTCTTGTCCTTTCCTTCCGACTGCATGGCGAAAAAAAATTATGTTAGAAAATTGAGTTTTCTTCGATAGTTTTGCGAGGGTGAAATTCGAGATCGATCGCAAAATCCAGAAATTCTGGACAATGAAGTGCTGGAGATTGAGCTGATGGGAGGGGAACCTACCATGGCGACTGCTTTTGGCGTGAACTGATCGACTGGTTGAGTGAAAGAGAGACAGGATCGAAAAGTGTGGAAAAGGGAAATGTGTGGGTTGGCCGTGTGGGAAGCGAGAGCCCTTAGTGGCTTGGCATCGGCGCTTCGGCGCCAAGACCGCAAGAGCCGCGCGCTTCACCTGACATGGGCAAGTTGGGAACCTGAAGTCCAGGTCGGCTCGAGCTCAAGTCAGTCGGTGCCAAAAGTTCCAGCTAGCCTGCTAACCTACTTGCGCGCCTGCTGTCTTCCCCCCCCGGATCACGGAGTGAAGTTAACCAGAAAAGAAGCACCTCTTCTTTTCCCCTTCTTCCTGACTCCCACTTCCATTCTTTGAATCCCATCCAAGTCGCATTCGTGCGCAAAACACCGCCTAACATGGCTAACAAGCAGGGCAAGATGGTAAGCTGCGTCACCTCCCCCTCACCCCCTCTCTCTTTGATAATGGATGGATTGAGTATCATAGAACAATCTGAGCTAACTGGTTACTTCCTGTAGCAAAACCTCGTGAGTCTCCAACCGTGATGATGATAATGATGCCATCTGGGGGTTGCCGTGATTCAGCTCTGACTTTGACCGCAGATCAACTACCGGATGAGAGTTACCTTGAACGATGGCCGACAAATGACAGGACAGATGCTTGCTTTCGACAAGGTACTTACTTTCTCCGAAGCGACTACAATTTACTCTGACCTTGCCTGGTTGGATACATGTTGACATCTCTGCGCAGCACATGAACCTTGTCCTTGCCGACACCGAAGAATTCCGTCGTGTGAAGCGGAAATCCAAGCCCGCCGCCGGGTCGACCACCGCGAGCCTGGTCGAGGCCGAAGAGAAGCGAACCCTCGGTTTGACCATCGTTCGTGGTACTCACGTCGTCTCTTGCTCCGTTGATGGACCCCCACCCGCCGACCCCTCCGCACGTTTGGGAGCAAGCGTCCCCGGTGCTGCCGCTGCGGCTGCTGCTACCCTCGCTGCTGGTCCTGGCATTAGCAAACCCGCTGGACGTGGTCTGCCGGTCGGACTTGGAGGCCCTGCTGCTGGCGTTGGTGGCCCGCCCCCTCCCCCTGGTGGTTTCCCCGGCTTCCCTCCGGGGGGCTTCCCCGGCGCGCCGCCTCCGGGCTTTGCTGGTCGCGGAGGACCTGCTGGAGGACCTCGTAAGTACCCCTTATACTAGCCGTCATTGGCCTGATTGACTAAGCGATAATCTAGCTGGCTTCGCTCCCCCTCCTGGATTTGCGCCCCAAGGTGCTCCTCGTAAGTAACTCTATGTTCTTTGACTATATACTACGTCAACTAACATCTATTTTGCTGCAGCGGGTGCTTTCCAACCTCCTCCGGGCTTCCAGCCTCCGGGCCAGGGCCGGGGCTATCCTCCTCCCGGGTTTGGCGGACGGTGATTTGATAGTAGGTGGCGTGGCATGATAGCGTACAATCTGACCATGACTTCAAGCATGGCAGAAATCGAGTTGAACGTCGAGCATGAGGCTCAAACCTCTCGCTCATGGTTGGCTTATGGAAGCTTCAACAAATGAAAGCACAGCATCCTCAATTTATCAGGCAAAGGCGTTTCGGCGTGTGCGGATGCTCCTCAGATAAGAAAAGGTCGACTGAAAACAACAAGGCTAGGATCGGCGGAAGCAATGGTAGATATTCTTCCAACAAGCACTGTACTATTCAACTATAATGAGACCCAGAGCTTTATTTTCTTTCACGGTGTCGGACAGGAAAAGCGTATCACTCCGTACTGCATAAAAGCCCCGTAGACCGGAGTCAACGAACTCCGGCAACTGGCCAACACGTGACCTCATCCGAGCCTCTCCGCCCGGCGACGGCGCAGTGACGGGGAGCGCAGCAAAGCAACCCTCGCTATCTCTGCCTTCTTAACCCGTTCTTCTCCTCTCAGCGTCACTCTCCTCTCCATTCATTCTCTCCTTCGTCGCTCAACATGGCTGCTGTAATCAAGGCAATCAATGCTAAGATCCGTTCCAACAAGGTCCTGGACTATGTCTGCTCTACACGTACGTTTTGCGCCCCGGTTCCCTTCCCCGTGCCCTGACCGAGATCGGCCGGCAATGAAGCCCTGCAGTAAGACGGACAGAAGAGACGACGAAACAGCTTGTCTCCGTCTCACAACGGGCAATTGCTTGCAGAGCTGGGATCATACACATTTTCCAGCTGCTAGTTCATGTCCTCGACTAACCTCTCTATTATCATGCAGATTTCTGGGGCCCTGCCTCCAACTTCGGTATCCCCATCGCCGCTGTCATGGACACCCAGAAGGACCCCGAGATGTACGTTTCACCCAATACCTTCCTCCCCCCCCCCTTTATCGCGCCTTTACCTTTCGTCCCGCGGCCAAGACGGAAAAGTGAGAGAAGAAGGAGCATCTCGCCCCAAAGAACATTGAAACAATCATAAACACCAAAACAAGAAATCGGAGCCCTGACGCTGATCAAACCCTGCCTCCCACAGCATCTCCGGCCAAATGACCGGTGCCCTCGTGATCTACTCCGGTACCTTCATGCGCTACGCTCTCGCCGTCTCCCCCAAGAACTACCTTCTGTTCGCCTGCCACGCCGTCAACTTCTCCGCCCAGCTGACCCAAGGTTACCGCTACCTGAACTACTGGAAGTGAGTTCTCTCTTTCCCCCCTCAGACCCCTCCCAATATCCGACCTACGTGGTTGTCAAACCGTCCCAACCGACCACAGAAACTAATATCTATACCAAAAACAGCTGGGGTGGCCGTGAAGCCAAGCTCGCCCAGGCCGCTCAGCAGGGCAAGGAAGCCACCGAAGCCGGGCAATAGACAACGCCTCTTCGCCCTGTCTCTCTCGCTCTCGCTTCCTCCCTATGAGGTTTCTCGTCCTCTTTTTCTGTGCTGCGGGTGTGGCGGGGGTGGTTCGCTGAATGGAATTGCGGGTGTTGGGAACCTGTATGATGTAGCAGTTAGGTAAGGGGAGAGGGATTTACGGATCATTTTCCTTTATTCCTTTGTCTGTAAGGGGGGGGGGGGGGGCTGGCTGGCTGCTGCTGTTGCTTCTGATTACACGGTTTTGTGGGTTCTCGTGGCTTTCTTCCGGCTCCTCCGCTTTCCGTTACTAGCAAGTTCTTGCATGGCGGGTTGCTTTGGTTTTTTTTTTGTATATAGCTCTCTCTCTTTTCTCTCTCTATCGCGTCCTACTAGAATTGGATATTGGTCCGGTTAGGTTCCCTTCTTCCTATAGTCTTTTGAAGTGTTGTCTACGCAGAGCTCTTGATTGTCTTGTGGGTTCATGATGTATAGTGCGTAAATTGGCAATCTCGTCTAGAGTCTATATCAAACATGTCAAGAAACCGGTCAAGGGAACCAGAGCAGATAGGGAAGGGCAGGGTTGATGTTGACAATGGTCTCGTAACCAAGCACAGAGACAGAACAAGCAAGTAAGCAAGATAATCGAACAGACAGAAGAACTATGTATCTGTGACAACAGTAGTGGGCATCACAAGTGTCCATCATATAAGTACTGGACAATTCGTTAGGGAAGGATCGGAGATCAGAGGAGGATCAGTAGACAATTCGTGGAGCAATCTATACAGATCAGGAGTCGCAGTATCCCGGAGGCTTGACGTCGCCGCCATTGATCCAGTTGCTCAGCGTCAGAGATGTTGTGTACAGACAGCTGAGGACACCGAAGATGGCCAAAGCTATGTCGGCAATCTGTTGTCTGCGAGACTGAGCGCAGGCTTTGAGGTGAAGTAGAGGCTGTGTGATACATTGTCAGTGACAAGGTGACAAAGGACGGGAAGAGCGGTGCAGGGGCTAAAGAGCTTACCGGATATACATAGATCAATGGAACACAGGCGAAACTGCCAACGAGCGACACAAACTTGTCGAGATCTTCGGCGCCGCCCCAGGCGACGAATGCGCAAATCATGACGAGGAAGAATCGGAAACAGTTCTTCTTCCACTTGATCCAGGGGTTATACTTTCCACTGCGTGTGAACAGCTCGTTCTCCATGATACGAATGGCAGGGAAGAGCTGCAGCGGGGTGCTGAGAAGGATGGCTAGAGAGTAGAGGAACTGCACCGCGTTCACGAATTTGTCATCCTGGGGAAGGTTCAGGATGACAACAGTCTTGGTCGCCGAACCGTAGGCTGCATAGCTGACGGCGCCAGCGGAAAGGAACACAATCGTGATAATGACCATGACGCCAGCCAGAACACCGGGGAAGCGGTGAGGTTCCTTCATAGATTCTTGGATGGGGATGATCAAGCCAATTCCTTCGTACGTGAAGATGGCTGTTCCGATGAATAGAGTCCACGTGGACGGGTTAAAAGAGATGATGTCGGAGATACCACCCTGATTCGAGATGGTAAGAAAATCATAGTAGAAGAGATAAATCAGACCAAGCAGAATAAAGAGATCAGCGACCAGTGCGGTAAAACCAAGTTTGCTGATATCGCGGATCAACGAAAGAGGAAGGAAGATGACTAGCTGCAACAACACCATGAATTTGATGTCAATGAAAGACTTGCAGTTGCTCACGGCGAGGACGAAGGCTTGTAGGTTCTCCGCGGTAAACACGATGTACGCCGACACGAAGCCTAGCTGGCTCAGAACAATCGAGCCCAGGATAATGCGCCGCATGTGTTTGCCGTAGAGATGGCCGCCAATATCACCAAACGAGCCATCAACCTTCAACCGGGTGTTGACCAGGAGTATGAAGCAGTAGAAACTGAGAAGCGACACTGCAAGCAGAACCATGCTACTGAACAGCATCCCTCCATTCAAGAAAGCCCTTGGAAGGAACAGAACTCCCGTTCCCACAAAGGACTTAAGTAGTAGAAGAGCCGCTCCTGTCACCGTATTGTTTCCAGTGCCACCGCGCGGCTTGCGCTTTCTTCTACCAGCCGTATCCGGGCGAAGCAAAGCCGAGTCTTCACCTGGTTCTCTACCCTCCACTTCGTCATAGGTATCGGACGAGAAGTACTCGTCAGGACCCAGCACCTCATCATCCTCTTCTAGCTCTTCACCCGCAAAGTGACCATATAGGGTCAAGAACTCAAGAAAGCTGCTTGTCGGAAACTGAGGTTGGCTGACGGGCGCCAGCAAACCTGAGTCTTCAGAGTCCCCAGGGCCTACAGCTCTTCGCAGATAGTCCCTGCGGAACCCTCCCGGCACACGAATGCTGTTGATGTTCATGGTTTCGTCTTGGGGCAGAGGCCGGTTATGGCTGAAACTCCTACTCCGTTGCGGTTTACGCAGGGAATTACCAGCTTCTGCATCTTCCGCCCATCTGTAAACCTGCCTGGTTATGTCACCACCCTGGAGCTGCAAGCTGGAGAACTCGTCGTCCGCGTTACTGGCGGCATCGCCCGAGAAATAGTAATCTCGGCCTTCCCCATTTTGAGGTTGTACCAGATGCCGCTTGACAACTTCCGGATCTTCGTAAGGACCCGCTGAATACTCCGAGCCCTCTCGTCCGTCAAAGGATCCGTAGTTCGATCGAATGGGTTGGTTTAGTAGAGCAGGAGACGCGGTCTGTCTGGGCGGAGTTCCTACTCTCGCTGGCGGCGATTTACCCATATACTCCTGGAGAGCAGAGGAGATCATTGAATGGCCCGGGCCTGGTATGGAGGAGGGATGGTCGACTTTGCGATAATCCTCGACGGTGCCACTTGCCGACTGCACGGGCACGGGCACCTGTCGGGATGAGTAAGAATGATTGGAGGGAGAGGGAATCGGGGACGCCAGGCGGGCGATCGAGGCATGCCTCACCGAGGCGTCGGTTGCAGGAGATCTAGACCGCATTGCAGAGGTAGAAATTGGCGACGATGAACGGGGCCGTAAAGACGAAGAGCCCTCCCCATTGTCGAATGCCTTTGGGGATGACATTTTGGCAGATGAGTTAGAAGTGTCCTTGTGCAAGGATCAGACAAACCCTGGAACAATCCCGAAAACAATTCGTCTATTTGAGTTTTCGGAAGTGAACCAAGATTAAGAGATAACCGGTTTGACAGAAGAAGTCTGAGCTGATCAAAGAGCAGAGTTCGGGGAGAAGAGAGAGAGAGAGGGTGTGTGTGTGTGTGTGGAGGGGGAGAAAGAAGAATAGCTAATGAAGGTCGAAAGAAAGCCGGGGATAAGTGCAAGCCACAATTGATTCACCGCATTAGACCGACAGGGACACTAACTAGCTAAGCCTCCTGTGAGTTGACTTAGCTAGTCTCCAGCCTATTTTCCAACGTAACCCGAAAAAGGATGAGGCGGGTGAGTTGAATCATGTCCACGCTGTAACATAGTCTATATGTAGGAAGAATGATGAGAGATCATCGATTTAGTCGCAAACGAGGCAATACGAGGAGAAGCACAGACGATTTGCACTGTTTGTTTAGGGGCCACATGAGGTCATCGCCGCCCGATGAATTTGCTTGAAGATAACGGTTAATCAAACACGCGATTGGCATCCATCCATCCATTCCTCCCCCCATATCTCGTGCTCGTGCTGCTTGCTTACCTTCCTTCCCCTTTACTCTCCATTCTGTTACACGAGGATTACTGCTGTCGCTGTTGTCACATTACTCTCCTCGTGACTGGGTCAGCAGTAAATTCCTTATCGCCGAGTCCGCCTCCCCTTCCAATCTTAGTCTTTCCCCGGACTTGACAGTTCTCCACCCCACCCTCCCAATTTTTATCGGGGGTGCTTGCATGCAGGCCAGGCGGACACACACACTCAAAAGGAGTGGAGGCGCTGAAATCGATGACTGACCAGCGGGCCGCCAATTCTTCGGACTCCCTGTCTCGACGGAGGCCCAATTTCTCCACGCGCACCGCTGAGGAGGATGTCTCCAGATTAGACCCTAGTGAATCGACCAAAGCATCACCGGAACACAGTAGTAAAGTCTTTCAAGGAACAACTACTGTTCCTAATCGTGAGAACCATCGATATGAACCGCTGAGGCCATCTTCACGTTCGCCTGAGCGGCACCGCCACTCACTTCCTACCAATCTCTTCAGTAATGTTACCCAGTGGTGGAGCGGACAAGGCAGGGATGGAAGACACGACTTTCCCAGGGAAGGGACTCTTCCTCCACCCCCAGCTTCAGGTCCCTTCAGAGAGTCTGGCGTAGACCAGAAAGAGCGCGAGGCTCAGAACCGAGCTTCCGACAATCCTGACAAGCTGGGGACATTTTCAGGAGTCTTTGTACCAACGACATTGAACGTCTTGAGTATTTTGATGTTTCTCCGGTTCGGGTTCATCCTTGGACAAGCTGGACTGCTGGGAATGCTAGGTAAATATACTGCATGTCGTATCTAGACACACCGATGACTGACTGACAGAAACAAGGTCTACTTGTCATTTCGTACACCATCAACCTGGTGACGACCATGTCGCTTTCCGCCATCGCGACTAATGGCACAGTCCGCGGTGGTGGCGCATACTATCTGATCTCTCGCTCACTGGGCCCCGAGTTTGGTGGCTCCATTGGCATAGTATTCTATCTTGGATATGTGCTGAACACTGGTATGAATGCGGTGGGTCTGGTTGATTGTTTCAAACAGAACTTCGGCACAGAATCCGGCACCTGGGCCAATTTTCTCGAAGAGGGCTTCTGGTGGCAGTATCTCTGGGGCACCATAATCCTAGTCCTCTGTACTGGAATATGCTTAGCTGGAAGCTCGATCTTTTCCAGGGCCAGCAACGGACTGTTGGTCATCCTGCTGGTCGCAACCTTCAGCATACCATTATCTGCAATATTCATGAAACCGTTCAGCATCCCGAGAATCGGAGTCGAATTCACGGGCTTCCGCCTACAGACGTTGTTAGAGAATCTCAAGCCCAAGCTCACCAAAGGTGCGGCAGGCAGCCAGCTCCCAGGACGTGAGAACTTCCAAGATCTGTTTGGTATCTTGTTCCCTG